TCTGTTTCTTCTTTCTTTCTAAGTCCTTTTTGTTTCTTCGGGGGAGGTTGGTGGATTTAAGGTTGGGGAGTGTGGAGACGTAAGTTTAGAGGCTTAGGATTTTAGGGTGGGAGTTCAGGGATTAGGATTTAGACGCATGGCTTTAGGAATGAAGGTTTATGTTTGCAAACATGAAAGGGTTTGGGCTGTTGAGACTTCAAGGGCGGAAGCCGAACTCCTAAATCCCAAGTGGACCTCAAACCGTCCACAGCCGTGGTTTTCCCCTGCCCGAAACTCTGAACTCAATGAATGGGAACTCTGGAGTGGCTACAGGCATTGAACGACTAGTTGTGACTAGCCAGAGAATTGTGCGGGAAGTCTAGGGATACTTCTCACAATGAGGATTCGCATGAATTTCAGCATTCAGTATGGGTACCGTAAACCCCTGGCTGGTAAGTTCTGCCTCCCAGAGCGTGGCTCTTTCTACTACAGGAGACTATGCTTATGAGAGACTGAGAGACTCTTCGGACTCTCAAGCCCATTCGGCTCTGTTTGGGCGCTGATTTACCCAGAGTCTTAGCCTCAAACCATGCACCCCAGGCATTAAATCGCTCTGTGTTTGATGGTGCTTTTTGGGGTCCCTCTTCAGAGCTCTGCGTGCGCTACTCCTGGAGTAGGACTCCAAGCAAACATGGAACCCCAAACGAGACCCTGCAAAGACTACCATGCAACTACAGGATCCTTCTCTTCCAATTTCGTTCAGAGTGAGCAGAAATCTGTACCTGTCCCGCAGTCTAGTGTAGACCCATCCCCAACAACACAACAAAAACACGAAAGGGATTCCATGTTTTGTAGGAAAGAGAGAGAGAGAGAGAGAGTCAATGACAGTGAATAAGTGTCAAGATGTGCCTCAAGGTGGCGGCTGGCGACTTTGGGAAGTTCCTTGATGCTTGGATTGCTTTACACTACATAAACCTTATGCCTTGATGGTGGTATTGCTATACCACATGAACCCTGAATCATGAGACTTGGTGCCTGGATTACGCACCTCATCTAAAAATGCTAGGCCTCAGCGACATAGGGACTCTGCAATGCTGAAGATCCTTGTTGGAGAAAATTGTAGGGGGTTTCTTGCGGATTGGCCAGGGTCGAGGATGAAGTGTGTCCGTAGGATCCCTAAGATTACGTACCCCTTTGTTGAGAAGCTCTTCTTGCCACTGAAGGGTCTCTCACGATTTGTATCTGTACAGTCGAAAGTGGGCACCTGGATCTTTCTCGTAATTGGCACATTACCCTAAGGTTGGGAAAGAGAAACCTCGGTGCCCCACGCACCAAGGAACAGGAGCGGCAAGAAGCTTCCCGGCTCCTTCGAGCTGGTGTGCCTGAAAACCTACGCTGGAAGGCGCACGGTCAACTGTTTCCCTCTAGTTAGCAGGGAAAGGAGGATTGGAAAAGGACATGGCAACTACTATGTTCTTGGGGACTACATAGGGGCTACCAGAAGGATTCATTCCTTTGCACTCCTAACAGAGGTAACAGTAGGGAGCATAGGAGCTTCGTACGGGTACGAAGGAGGGATGAACAAATAGGGTTGTATGATCGTGTTGAAATTCTCTCTGAATATTCCCTTCGAATATTCTAGGGTTAGTAGTCCCTCCGAATCCAACATGGAAAGCTCAACAGGGGCCCGATAAGATCGTTGTCCTTTCAAGAGGGACCTGTATGGATTTCCATATCAGTTTGGGGGCAGGCCAGAAGCCTACAGTGTAATGGTTGGAATATTGGAGCATTAGCTGGACAAATGCAAGAGGAAATGCAAATTGCCAGAATGTGGGGATCTGAGTGGCTCAAGCAATTAGAATGAGATCTTGTGGCTAACGGGGGGAAGCGTCCAACGCATAATGTCGTGCCAGTCAGGTGCGAAATCTGAACCCTGGGATACTGAGCGGGTTCAAGGTACACTAGTTAGGTCATGCCACTTTGGCGGATCCTGGCTTTCCTGAAAACCTTGCTATAGGGCTGATGTAGGGTCACGACGTGGCCGGAATGTAGTATTGATGTCGCCAAAGCTCCCCGGTCCCTCAAAGTATCTCCTGCGGAGCCGATAACCCATGCTGCGTCATTCTCGGACATGAGTTCTTATTTTCACTTATACGAAAATCCCACAAGGTTTTGTAGTTTGGAATCATACGGTTGTGGATACTAAAAATCCTGCATTGATAGCTAAAGTACCATACCTCCAAAGGTATAATCATCAGACGGAATTTTGATTTTGAATCACCCTAAACCCTTAGCGCTAAACCATGCGCGGGGCAGGTCTGGAGTTGTCTCCTGCGTGTTGATGTCGAGTCTGCAGCAGAGGCAGGTTCCCGGCTCAAGGTCTACAGGGGTTGAAAATTTAGAATGTAGCACTGAGGGCTTGGGATTTGTGCTCAAGATATAGCATCTCATGAAAGCAGCCCTGAAGGCCTCAACTCCTCAACCCCTACAATACCCAAACCATACATTCCAAACCATAAGCGATTGGAGAAAAGGCGCGCAACAAAAAAAAGCGAGCGCCCTATACGACGAGCCGTTCAGCAGCAAGGTGCCCAAGGCCTGCCGGAGCAGTGCGCACTGGCGCCAAATCGAAGTGGATCTTCCCAGCGCCCAAGCATTGTGTAGGCTAGGGAAAAGGGTTGAGGGTTTGGGGTTCAGGCTTTAGGGTTGGGGTTTAAGCCTGCTGTAGTGTAGGAGTGTAGACAATAAGACCTTACAGCGGTGTTTCATATGTGGTGGTCGGGGCTTTGGGGGCATGAGGAATTAGGACCGTGGAGCATCAAATGGACAGCATGGAGAATCCTCTGGGAGCTGGACTTATGTGGTGGGGTGGGCTTTGGGAAGGAAATGCTGGAACCTGAAAAATTGTAGTTGGGTTTTGGTGTCTTTTGAGGGGGTCATGCTGGTGGTAGTTTTCAGATTTCTACAGAAGGGTTGAGGGCTTAGGGGGGATTCCGTTGTCTCATCCCTTCTGAAGAGTCCTTCTTAGGGGGTCTGTCCTACTTGGATGCCCCAACAATTCTGTGGCAGCCACTGAAGGTCTGATCCCATCAAATCCCGTGGAGGTAAGCCTCAATTGGCCTTGCCAGAGTTGAGGTTCAAGCCTGAGGAAAATGCTCAAGTTCAACAGTGTTGCAGCCAGATTATTAGCTGCAATCCCTACACGGTGAAGGCGCCAGGGTTCTTGACAAGAAGTCAACATTTTCTCAAAGTTCGAGGTCTCATTTTGGGGGTCGCTACAGTAAGGGCTAGATCGATTGAGGGTTGTTTTGGCGCACCCAAACCCTGAGAAAACCCATATCACTGATGTCTACACCTACCCCAAGCCTGAATCCCTAAGCCCTAGACCCAAAACCGCGCCCCAGGAACTTTCCCGGAAGAGAACTTCGACGAGTGCCTCCAACAGCAGCTGGGCAACGTACTGTGCGCCTATGCGACCAAAGATCCGCTGACAGGACTGTGACTTGCAGAGCTTGATTGGGGATTTGGGGCTTTGGATCTAGGGCCTAGGCTTTAGCTTTAGGATGATCGAGGGTTTTGGGTTAGAGATTAGGATTTGAGGATTGAAGAGCTCTAGCAGTCGTAGTCTGCACCATGTTTGTGAGCAGTACGTAGCC